AACATCTCATGTTCAGTTGCTTTATGAGTACGTAATCTTGGCTTACTTTATTGATTTTAAGCTCATTTCCTTTGATGTATCGTGGACGGCCTTTCTATTAGTCCTTTAGCGAGAGGATCTGCAATATTCTTCTCGGGCTCCATATACTTCAATGTGAGTGCTCCAGTCGTAATCAACTGTCTTACAGACTCATGTATGACCCTTATGTGCTTTCTTTGGGAGTTACAGTGTATGGGCATAGACGGTGTAGCACACCCCCACCATGGCACGTCTTCCAGTAGGTCTCTCAGCCACTCGGCTTTTTGCCCAACTAGTTCAAGAGGTATAAATTCATTCTCCATTGTTGATCTAGCTTATACAAGTCTATTATGTCTATCTTAATATAGACTTCCACCCTGCCAAAGTCTATCTCACCATAGACTTTTAACTCTGATAAGTCCAATCGCATTATAGTTTTTTTATGTCTTGTCAAGTCCATCTCAATATAGACTTTTAACTCTGCCAAGTCTATCTTAGTATAGACCACCTTTAAAGGCTTATAGAGTAGTTAAGGACATAAATCAGTTGTAAGTCTTTTCTTTCTATCATAGGCATTGTTCTTTGCAATGCAAACGACAGTTTGTGAATCACAATGTATATGTAGTGAAGGTGTTAGCTAGACACCCCCACAACTCCACGTTTATCAACATATTTCTTAGCCACTCAGCTTCTTGGGATAACCCCATTATCTTTCATAAGAGGCGGTTATCCCTTTTCTACTCAAGTTAGGGATCTCTTTAGGTCTACCTCAACAAAGACCATCCCAATTGAGTATAAGTCACCAAGAGCACTTTGTACTTATGTCATTATGCGGTGAATTCATTAGGTTTGTCTCAACAAAACCACCTTTTCTCAAAGAGTTATGAATTCATTAAGAGCTGTAGCTCTACCTCACAAGTACACACACTGTCGGAATGACCAACTAGTGTACTATTTTGTAACTCTTTTCATGGCTTCGTTTGACCACAGAAGTGGGATCCACCACGAATTCATTACCACTTGGACTAAGTCCTTCCAATGAGCCAGCGACTAATCCTCATAATTAGCCCTCAAGTAAGTTGATTCTCTTGACCAAACTTACATACACTTTGACGAGTACTTCGTTTACTCGTAAATAATCCCTTGAGATTTTCATGTTTAACATGAAACATTCTCTTTCATCATTATTCTCAATACCACAGAGAAACTTTTGATGAAAATATAGGAGTTTATTACCCCACAATGCAACACTTACAAATATTTTTTGTCAAATGTATTTGATCTCTTACCCAGACTGATCTTTGGTGCCCTACATTAGCTCCATTGTAGACTGAGTTTTCCCGATTTGCTTTGTGCAGCATTATAGAAGCTTCGCACTCTGCTGATACATGCTCAACAGTTAAATATATTTCAACAAACTTGTTTATCTCAATTGATCACAATTACCCTTTAACTAGGAATTATAGGTATTTCAATATGACTCAACCAAGAGTTTAAATAATATATATACAAATGCTCATTGTTAGTAAACCATAGAAATAATGTTGTCCACATGCTACATCAAGTTGAACAACATAATCACAAATTTCACATCATATTCTTATAAGAAATTAATCTTATACACAAGGAATATGTTCGAGCTCATATTTATTCGAAAATATCTCTCAACAATGAGACTTCAGAGTTGCCACTTGCACAATTTTCCATTCCCTTGAGGAAATTAAAACTCATATAAAGCATTCATAGGATGCAGATCAATATTACTATTGCAGTACTTCAACAATTTCTATTGCAAGGCTTTGATTAACAACATATGAAAGTCAACCTCATTTCAGGTGAAGATCAAGTGGCGGTCTAACTAGCCTGCATGATCAACACCCTACTTCTTAAAACTCCCAGGTCGAGAGGTGAAACCGAAGTTTTCTTAAAAACCATATTCCTAGACAGAATATTCAAGATCATGTGAGTAAAGCCTTTGAAATTAAACTCAGTACACAATTTAAATATTTAAGATCATGTGACTGTAATATAGTATGTATCCCATCAAATAGTGCAATGTTTGTAACATATCCACAATAATAACACATAATGTTGTAAATTGACATGTGCATAAGTACACAGGTTATAGGCTTTATATCATATTGATGATTTAATCACTTAGCAGTAGTGTTAAATCAACACTTCTAACACAACAAATTCATAAAGCTCATACATGTGAATAATAGCAATTCACTTATCTTTGTGTGCACCGTTGTTAATTTTCTATATAATATTCAAAGCACTCACCATACAAAATATGAACGGGTGATTTCTAAAATGTCTATCACAATATATATTTCACGTTTCACATGCTCTCAAAAGATAATAATCAATTGGATGCAAAGATATAGGCAAACCACCTTCTAAATTATGTCATTATGATAGTTTTAATGGAACATGGTCAATGCCCATGCTATATGACTACTAATGCTCAAGATAATCATTAGCATATGATAGTCTATTATCATATAAGTATACATGAATGATGACTCTTCAAGTCCATGCTACAAACAAGTTGCATTAAAGCCTTTGATATATGTTTATTATATCTTTATACAAATAATTTTAGTACATGATTCAAATCTTTAAAAATCATGTGACAATGATATATAATTATATATGCATCTCATATTCAATTTGAAGGAACAAATAGCCCCCACTAATAAATTAATCATGCATCACTTAAATTTATGTTCCTCAGTTATCTAACATATAATCACTTTTGATCTCATTTTGCGAAAAACATCATATATAACATTTTCGTACAACTCTAAATCCAAGAAACACATGTCTACACATAGAAATAACAATATGCATGAATATTGATCATCAAGATTAACCATTTATATCTTGGATGTTAAGAGTGAGAGGACATATTTAAGTAATATAATGATCTTGCTATTTCAATTCTTCAAGTTCAGTATGCTATAAAAGATAATTATGTGATATGTCATCATCATAACTATAAATGCTTGCACTTTAAATTCAAGAGCACAAAATTTAATAAAGACTAAGTCATAATATATACAGAATATTAAAAATTTTGTGTGCTGAAAAGCATGTAACTAATTATCTCTTAGTTATGTCAATCCTCATGTTGTGCACACTGAAGAGAACGAACCAAAAGATGAAATATAATGTGGTGATGACGCATGAAAGTATTTCTAACACCCATTAAATAAATTATCACATACACATTTATTAAAGAAATAATACTTAGCTCAGAGTTCGACAAACTTGAAGTGGATCATCATCTTAATCGCCCACCGGCAGTAGTTCAGACCGGTGAGTGGTTTGAGCTTGGCGAAGTCAGAGGAGGGCTTCGTTGCCATTAACGACATTTTCACGAGAATAATTTGTTTTTAACTGTTGGAGTTTAGTACTGGAAAATGTCGCAGTAGCACTGCTTTTTATATTGGCTAATTTGGGAAAAAGTAAGGGAATCATGTGTCGTGTGAATACACTACCTTAAAAGCAAATTTCCGGGATAACCGGGTGCTTTTGACTGGTTGCACACAGACTTTTTACGAGATACCGGCACAGGTATTCGCAGTCACAGTAGGACCTGACTTAGAGCTCAGACAGGAAGCTCAGAGAGAATAGAAGAAGAGAAGAATGAATTGTTGTGTGTTTTAATGAATAAGGGAAATGCCCCTTATATACTAACACTGACTTCTCTTCTCAACCATCCAAATTCAAAACCAATACTGGACCACTCATTCTAATAAGAAGTGTGCTGGACCACTCATTCTAATAAGAAGTGCCCCTTATATACTAACACAGGCTTCTCTTCTCAACCATCCAAATTCAAAACCAATGTTGGACCACTCATTCTAATCAAATGAGATTCACTCATTTGAGTGAAAAATTAGCAACCACAAAAATAATTAGACAAAGTAGTTTTGGACCAACTCATGAATCAATTTTTGAATGTTATTCTCAACAGAAAATGAGGTGCTTGTGTGCATTACGTTGAATTAATTTTGTGTTTATGATTTTCCGTGCATGCTTGTTTGGTTATGACTCTATACATGTCGGCTGACAACGTTTTCATGGGTCTGCCACAGGGTCTAGTGACGGGAGATGGTCACCAGACACCGGGGATGTAGTGGCGCATTGCACAATGGGGTTAACGTTCAATACTGCAAGCCCGATGTGGACGCTGAAATTTTTCCTGTTGTTGGACATCGTTTTAAATCACTAGTCGAAGATGTTCAATTATATATCAACTATGCATGCACAAGCCGACGGCTTTGACGTCCGGCACAGTACCGTGCATTTGGCATTGAAATGCATACCCTCTGTGGACCCTGACTTGCGATACTAGCAACTTGCTTTGATCCAACCCCACTAAGTTTATTGTTTAGGGTGATGAATTCCCTTACAGCCCCAGACTTGTTTAGTTAAAAATAGAATCCCTAATAAATGATAGAGAAGCACTGCCTAAGGACAAAAGAAGGAGGAATTAAATTCAAGGACTAATATCCATCAATTTAATTAACAATACCACTGTGTAAATAAAATAATTTTAAACAATACTAGACTAATGCAAGATGAATTGTATTTGAAACCCAAAGGAATGGTGATGTTCATAAATAACCTAAGGATATGTATTATTTTATGTGCTATCTTTGTTTGGTTTAAATGGGATCTGTGTTTTAGCTTATTTTGCAGAGCTCTAAACATTCCAAGCAGTTTTCACTTCCTAATGACCATAATTATTTAAATGCAATCCCGGATTTAGCACTGACATGCTTATTTTTGGTTCTGGATTTCTAGTGCACTCATCATGTGCGATATGCCCCTCCATTTGGTCACAAACATGTGAGTTTTAATTTAAGCAGTATTTAAGCAATATTAGAGTATTAGAATCCATGCTCGCGTATGGCTACTGGAATTGTTGTGATAAAATGATAAAACTTATCATTGAAAGGAATCTTCGTTTGGGAATGCAATTTAAAGCAGTATTAGTCTATTACAATCCAAAGCCGGTATGCATTGTTTGCTATTTCATATTAACAATAGCCAGTATCTTTAACACTAGGCCAGTACACCACACTCCATTACGTATGTACTCAATGACTGATTAACCCAAATGCCTTGAAAACTAGAACCAATATTGTCAATATTAGCATCAGCAGCTAGCCTGCTTTGGAAATTTTCTTACAAGTTTTACTATATCAAAGTCCGAATCACTCCCCTCATCGCTTAAGACCACCAGTTGTTGTGCATCAGGGCCTGGGTCAAATAAAGCGAATATGTGAATCACAAACATTAGCAAGAACTTTAATTAGACAAAGAAGTACGTGGGAGAGAAACAAAGTGAACATGATCCTAATGTAGTATGTACTGCAATTTTACATCAAAATGGATATACTGTAGAACCCGGGCACGCATGTGCACATCATCTGCCAAAACCCACAACTATCACTGCACATCATCAATAAAAAAACTACCACTGTCTAATCTTTTGAGACTCTCGTCTATGTATATGACCAAGAAGCCAAAATCTTCTTGTCCTTTCTAATTCTTTTGCTCCACCATTTCAACCTAATTAGATACTGTAATTTTCCCCTCTGCATTCCTTAGCTTTACTAGTAGAGTAGTAGTACTAAAATGAAGTAGAATTAAAATTTGAATCCATTGAAAGTGTTAGCTAAAAGTTATGAAAAATTTGAGTGGCCTAAAAACACTTTTACAAAAATGGATTTTGAGGTGATTATCTACTAAAACTAACACTAGGTATGCACGGGTGTAGCGAAGATTCCACCAGTTCTCAGTGCAAATCATGACAATGAACGGGTGATGCTTTAACAACGATTAAAACTAATACTAAACTAAATAAAAACAGACTACATCAGCCAAGTTCACCTGGAGTTTTTTATTCTGTAATTTTGTCCCTTTCAGACTCTTAGCTTTACTAGTAGTATTAAAGTGAAGGAGAATTAAAATTAGAATCCATTGAAAGTGTTAGCTAGCAGTAAAGAAAAATTAAAGTGACCTAAAAACACTTTTAAGAAAAATGATTTTGAGGTCATTAAGCACTAAAACTAACACTAGGTACTCATTCTTTAAGTGATATTCAGTATACAACTTTAATTAGGAAAAATTTAGATAACTATGTCCATAATTAGCAGATGGTTTAATCTATTTCACATTAGATTGCATAATATCAATGCAAGTAAAATGAAATCTACTCCATAGCAATTAGCAAGACCACAAGTGTCAGCTTCTGCCCAGTAAAGCACACATATAATTACACACTAACTATCAACCTAACTAAAGAATTATATACTATATAAGCACACATATAGAAACAATCTAGAATGCAAGGAAGGGTAAGATACATATCAATCATCATCCACAATCATTTATTTTAATTTCAAATACTCTGTATCAGATTTCTTATAAACATACTATAAAAGTTGCATAGTATGCAGTCTTGATTTATTTCTTCAGTTGCAATTGAAACCTTAGATTGCTTTGGTGCAATGCAAAATAATGACATTGAACCTGGTTCATGGCATTACCAAATGCAATGAAAAAGCTGGTTCATAACATTACCAAATTCACTAACCAGTTTGTATTGTTAACTCGTTCGAATGCACACCAATCACACTGCCAAAGGCCACTCTGAGCATCCATGTGGTCCAGGAATACAACCCCAGCAAACCTAAGATTGCTTTGGTGCAGTGCAAAATAATGACAATGAACCTGGTTCATGACATTACCAAATTCGCTACTAGCTTGTATTGTTACCCCGGTAGGACTAGGAATGCAATCGTCGTTCAGGAATACAACCCCAGCACACAATACTGATTTCCCCAAAATAAAAATTTTTAAATTCACCACACTGAATATAACTAAAAACCATGCGAATCAGCACTAACCTCGCAAATCCCACCGATGTGCCGTCCGTCGCCGTGCAGATACCCTAGCAGCTATCCCGGACGAGGACGGACCGGCGTTTGAATGACCGGGAGGCCTCCGCGACTCTGTGCAAAGCAGCTGAGGGCGAGAATGCCCGGACCTACCCCTCTTTGAATGGCGACTGCCACCGGACTGCGCCATTGACTACTGCACAACCCTTCGGAGAGAACACAAGCTTCACAGTGATACGCGTAACCAAAACGCATGACCCCAAATTCCCTAAACACGACCAACATATTGCACTCTTAAAATTAAAATACTTCATTCCAGTAATGGTCATCCGACTGTGTTAATTTTTTCACAATTGGTTCTCGAGTTTTAATTTGGACAATTTAAACACTTACTTTCGAAATCTTTCCAATGTTGATTCTTCGTTATATAAAAGTTAAGTGGAAGTTAGTTTGAGGGGTAAAGTAGTAATTTTATCAGTTTAAAGTAAAATTTATGATCGCCATTCTCCCTTCCATCATTGTATACGGGACATGGCCCTAAATTCACTCTGTATATGCAAGCAACGACAATGGCGATGACAATTGCGGCGAGACATCTAATGGCAATGGTGATGAAATTTTGTATCTTCGCTACCCACCCATAATCAATTGAAAGCTCTACAAATGCTCGCCTCCCTGCCATTGTCGCTACCGCCACTCTCAAGCCCTCAACTCTCTGCCATCATATCTTTTATCACTAGATTCAATCACTGCTCTTCCCATACAAAAGGGACAAGATTCCCCTCTCCACCAAACCTGATCATGACAAAAAGGGAACAACAAATACAGAGGGTCAAACCACGGGGATGAACATTTCTGTATTTGAGAGGCTTCTTATTATTAATTAGGCACAGAATCTAGTCTAAATGAAATTATCACTTATGGAAATTGAATCCGGGTTATCATGGAATCCTCCCCACAAAGAGAGCTCATTTGCCACTTGAGCTACCATATTGGGATATTAAAATTAATATTATTATTAATAAATTAGGATCAAAAAATTATTGAACTGACAGAATTCAAATGCTAAACAAATTTAATAATAATTATTCTAAAATTGAACAAAATTAATAAAGCTATTAAAAATAATAATAAATAAATAAATAAATATATATATATATATATATATATATATATATATATATATATATATATATATATATTAATTATTAATTATTGCAAATAAACTATAAAAAATTATATAAAATAACACTAAAAATATTGTTTATCAATTATTATTATTAGGGGAAACGGCGCTTTTGGCCCCTCAATTGTTTTACTTTTGGAAATTTAGTTCCTCTCAATTGATTTGAATAAATCTAGTCCCTTAATTGTTAATAATGTACCACATTTAGTCCCTCATATTATATAATTAGAAATTCCTTTTTTTAATAATTTTTTTCATGAGGTTATAATTGTCCATTCCTTTCAACTATTTAACTTTCTTCTCTTTCCTTTTAATGTATGCCTTACCATTTGTAGATGAGATTGCATTGGAGATTTCATAGATCAAAAACAATAAAATAAAATAAAATAAAATAAAATAAAAAGCACAAATAAGTTGCAAAAATAACAAATAAGCTACATATTATACTGTCGACCTCCCTAATATAAAACCAATCTCCCTAAACTAAGTATACGCGTATAGCATAAATAACGAACAACAAAAATAATGAATAGTAATATCATTTGCTTCCCCATCATTTCAAGTTCAATACTAGTATTTTTACAAAAAATAACTTAGCAAATAACAACCATCTACTATATTAAGCAAAAATAGTCGTCATTTAATTTGGCATACCAGAATTCAATCTTATATGACCCCCTAAAGCAAAAAATATATCCTAGAAGAATAGACAAAAAGTTACAAAATAACAACCATAGTGACTAGTGAGCCTTTTTTTCAAAAAACTTAGTACTATATTATAAGGCTATGGTTTGTATCCATTTACAAAATATATATCCCTTCAATATTGCAACTGTGACAATCTTCTGGTTTGGCATTTGGTTTGTTGAAGATTAGATAGAGTCACAAAGGTTCTTCCCCCATTGTTTATGATTCCAGGATGTTGATTTGGTTGGGTTATATGACTAGCTTCAACTGATATAAAAGTTGACATCTGATTTGGAGTAGGTCCTCCACTAGTCATTGGGTTGGTACTATGAGATGGCATTAAGTCCTGCAAAAAGGAAGTACTTTCATTGCTTATATATAACAAAAAGGGAGATAAGACATAAAACTTTTAAAATGGTACATACCATTTCATCAAGAACAAAGCTCGGCACTTGGGTTTCAATTGATACATTTTCAAAGGCATCTTCCATCTCAAACTCAGCTTCATTCCCACCAACTTCAATTTCTGCAGCTTGAGCTTGACCATTTTGAAACTTGCATGTAGTTTTATTGTGCCCTCTTTGTCCACAAACTCTGCATCTTTTAACTTCTCCCACTTTCTTCAAGTATTTAGTCTTGTTTTCTACAATTTCATTTGGAGTTATCTTTCTTCTTTTCTTTGGCCTTCCAGGTTGTTTTTTATACTTTGGTGGTAGTGGGGGTGGAAGTCCTGTCTTGTGCCACTGCTCTGAAGAACGAATGGGCATTATTGCTGGAGCATAAGATCTTAGATAACTCTCAACAGTGTAGCAATTGTGTATATAATCCTCTGGCTTTTCTCCTTTTATTCTAATGCATGCAACTGCATGGCTACAAGGGACGCCGGTAAGATCCCATATCTTACATGAGCAGTGGTGCTGGCTTAAATCCACCTTGAAGCGTTTCATATATCCCTCCACATGGTAAATCCCACCAACAGATTTGTGACATGTCCACTCATTAGATTTTTCCTAGGACTCTTCTAGATTCTTCATTATTTTGGGGCATACTGCTCTCTTCTTCAATAAAGTAGTCAAAATATTCTATTCTCCCCTTCTGATAATCCAAAGCTGGTTGTAACACCAACTCTCCACCATAATACATTTTAATGGTATAAAATCCAGCATCCTCAGTAGTATCTATCACAGGGATTAAAATTTAATATAAGTTTTAATTCAATTGGTGAAAAGTTTGAATTTAACAATGCATAACAACCCCCTAACTCCCCAAGTCATAATAGAATACAACACATACTAGTAATAAAATCCACAAACCAATGACTACAGCAACATAACAACAAAACAAATGAAAATTTTAATTAAACAGTATTACTAACTCTAAGGTTTTTGAGAATACAAATTGTCTTCAGATTGTGTTCACAAGAACCTATTTCAATTAAATTAGGTTAAAAACTCAGTGAAACTTTTGTGTAAATAGCTTCTGCACATAGTAATGAAATTGAGAAATAGGTTCTTGCGAACACAATGTTTTATAAATTACCCATGTAAATTCTTCTTCAAATTTCATATTTTAGTAAATTTCTCTTGAAAAAATTATACTAAAACTATGTTCAAAACATTGAATTTCAAATAAATACTTACATTTAGGCGTTCCGATTAACCCAGATAACCTTCTACTAGTTATTGTAAACAACGAACTTCAACCTTTGATTCTTCAAATTTCATGTACATAGATGTTGTTTGAGAGCGAAGGAAAGAGCTCAGTTAGGGCTCTTGACTTCTGCAAAGGCGTACAAAGGAAAAAGAAAGTTAATAGGTTAAAGAAATTAACAGTTATAACCTTTTGAAAAAAATTATTAAAAAAAGGATTTTCTAATTATATAATATGAAGGACTAAATGTGGTACACTATTAATAATTAAGGGACTAGATTTATTCAAATCAATTGAGAGGGACTAAATTTTCAAAAGTAAAACAATTGAGGGGCCAAAAGTGCTGCTTCTATGATATTATTATTATTATTGTTATTATTGTTATTATTGTTATTATTATTATTGGAACAATGTCTCCCACCACCATATTACTTCCTATAGTATTATTTTAAAAAATAAAATGTAAACTACTAAAGTAGTTTGTCCTTAAATGTGGTGTGAGTTAATTGACTAAAAAAAACTAATGAAATCTCAATTTCGGTTCTTTTAGTTAAATAAACATATATGATTAGAGTACACTAATTGTTATCTTCTTCCATCTAACCTTATAATTGTTATTTGCTTCCCAGAGTTGGCATATCCTTTATGACATCATATGATGTATTCTAAGATTTCTCCCATTTTTAATTTGTTTAATGTGGTCTTTGTTCTTGGAAAATGATTTTCACAAAACATTCTTTAGGCTAATCTCGATCAATCCATTATCAAGATGTCTTCACTTTATTTTTTATTTTTTTAGTGAAGAGAAATTTTGCAATCATTATTTTATATGTGCCCAAAATTCGAAAGAGTGCTGACAAAAATCAAACTCTATAATGATCATCAAATAATGTTTCACTCACTTGACCACTCTTTAGTCCTTTTGGAACATAATAATATCTTATAGTACAAATTCCACGTAGGGCGGTCAAGATACTAAAGAAGATCAAGTAAAGCAAATAAAGACTTTATTGATCAATGAAGGACCTAATACAATCTAAAATGGCTATTCCGATGGCCGACTGACTGCGGGTCGGGCAGCTCTGTGAATAGCCTATCGATCGTCTCAAAAGCCCCTCACACTGTGGTCGCTGTGGGTATTTATAGCCGCTAGGCCGGAGACACAATTCTGACCGACCGGCTGGCATGTAACCCACGTAGCACCCACGTGTCATCACCCCGCGAGCCCTGCCTGTCAGCACGTAACGTTGCCACGTGCTTCTTCTCAAATCTCTCGCTTAAGGGCCATCAACCGGGTGCTGAAGACATCGGTCGGGAGGTACGCCGATTGGGTACGACCGGCTTCCTTAAGGAATGTCCGACGTGTAAACCTGCATAAACAACAATAAAACACGTGGCATGTCGGTCGGGGTATTCCCTACCAAGAGCCCCCCAGCCCAGGCCTTTTTAACTGCTCAGGAAAAAACGAGACGGGATGGAAACGTCCAATCAGCCGCCGCCAAACCCAACCGGACAGCTGTCACCTGTCGTGCCACGTGTTGACTTCTGCGCGCCTCAGAGACTGCAACGGTCGCCTCGGAGTCTGGAACGGTCACCTCGCGCAAGTGGGCCGTTTCTCGCCCAAATATTTTCCTATAAATAGGCCCTTCTGAGATTCATTTGAACTTCCACCAACCCTTCCAGTCGATCGGAGCGTCCCGAGCGAGCACTCAAAGCATCGATCGAGCATTCAGATTTCAACCTTCTCCAACCAACTCTGATCATTCGGTAAGTTCTCTATCCCTTACTTTTCCTTACTGCCTTTTACTTTAGCACGTAGAGGCCACCTTCGGACCTTGACTAACCACGATCGGCTCGTACCCGACCTGTAACACCCCAGATTTTCAAGACATTTAAAACTTATAATAAAGGTAGAATCTTATTAAATCCCAAGATATAAATACAAGCGTTCGGGGTGCTATGCCACACCTGGGCTAGAGAACCCAAGTGCACAGGCTAACTAACTAATATCCTCAAAGCGTAAATACGTAAACGTGGCACGCATGCTAAAAGGGAAACTATCTACTTCTAAGTTCTAGCGCACTCCAGTGACTTAATCTTTTGTGCCTGAAAACCAAATATATCTGTTCAGCGAGAGATGATGGTAACCCACTCCAACGCGTTGAAATACAATACATATAGAGATATATATAGATATACGAAAACCATTTTGAGCATGAAGATATATCCTACGAACTCTAGCTTTAAAAACCGGGAATGACTCGACAGATAAGGCCAGACACAAGCAACAGTTATAACGAGCATATGCAGTTCACAACAGATAAGGCAGATAAGGCAAAGCATAAACAATGATCATAACCCAACATGAACAATCCCCAATATAAATCGCATAGTCACATCCCCCAAGACACTCGTAATCACAACTCGTCCATGTCACCACACATAACACACTTTGTTGGCGCCACAGGACCAATCGCATGCCCATACATGAGGGTCAGCGCATATAGCTCTGACACGGCCCCGCAGCACCCTGCCCCGTATCGCAACACAGAGGGGTCGATCGCAACCGACCGATGAACCGCAGCTCATCATAGTGTTTGATCGCAACCAAACAGTGGACCGCAGCCCAAGAGAATGTCATCTGACCGCAGCCAGGAAAAAAGGACGAACCGCAGCTCGTATAGAAACGTTTGATCGCAACCAAACGGTGGACCGCAGCCCAAGAGTATCAATCTGACCGCAGCCAGCTTCTGAACCGCAGCTCAGGATAACCAATCCGATCGCAACCGAATTGGGGTAACACACACACATAACACATAGCAAGCACATGCAATCCACATTACACATTGGGAAGGGGGAGAAAACGTATAACAAAACCTATGCGTGACCCATCACATACTAGGAATAGTCCTAAGGGGTTCATACTTCTACCACCTAGGTCAACGGGATACCAATTCAACTAGCATGCAATATAATAGACTCGTAAACCTACGAACGGCACCCGAAATATCAAACTAGACATAGGCACGATGAACGGAGTCCGTTGGGACACCACGGGGATCGGGGGAACATCAAACGGGGAAGCCGGGAACCCAAATTGGGGAAATTTCCAGCGGGTAGCCGGTGGGTGGGGGGCCACCCGCCGGCTGCCCGCCGGAATTACTGTTCCGTGCAGCGCGTCGCCGGCGGGCAGCTGCCCGCCCGCCGGCTACCCGCTGCCGGGCGGTGTTTCACGGCCGTGGGTAGGTGGCGGGTCCCCTACCCCCCACTGACTCTTTTCACACACTTTATGTAACACCCCAGATTTTCAAGATATTTAAAACTTATAAAATAAAGGTATTATCTCATTAAATCCCAAAACATAATACAAGTGTACGGGGTGCTATGCCACACCTGAGCTGGAGAACCCAGGTGCACAGGCTAACTAACTAATATCCTCAATAATGTAAATGCATAATATGGCACGCAGGCCGAAAGGGGACTAACTACTTCTACGTTCCGAGTACTAGCGCTCTCCAGTGACTTATTCTTCTGTGCCTGAAAGCCAAATATATCTGTTCAGCGAGAGATGCTGGTAACCCACTTCAACGCGTTGAAATACAATACATATAGAGATATATATAGATATACGAAAACCATTTTGAGCATGAAGATATATCCTACGAACTCTAGCTTTAAAACCGGGAATGACTCGACAGATAAGGCCGGACACAAGCAACAGTTATAACGAGCATATGCAGTTCACAATAGATAAGGCAGGTAAGGCAAAGTATAAACAATAATCATAACCCATCATAAACAATCCCCAATATAAATCCCATAGTCACTCCGTCAAGATACTCATAACCACAACTCTTCCATATCTCAACACATAGCACATTTTGTTGGCGCCACAGGACCAATCGCATGCCCATACATGAGGGTCAGCGCGTATAGCTCTGACACGGCCCCGCAGCACCCTGCCCCGTATCACAACACGGAGGGGTCGATCGCAACCGACCGATGAACCGCAGCTCATAAGAATGTGTAATCTGACTGTAGCCAGGAATTCCCATCTGACTACAGCCAGCCTCCGAACCGCAGCTCGGGAAAATGTCATCTGATTGCAGCCAGGAATTCCCATCTGACTACAACCAGCTTCTGGACCGCAGCCCAGGATACCGTCATCCGACTGCAGCCAGGAATTCCCATCTGACTGTAGCCGGCTTCTGAACCGCAGCTCAGGAATAACCAATCCGATCGCAACCGAATTGGGGCAACACGCACACATAACACATAGCAAGCACATACAACCCACATTACACGTTGGGAAGGGGAATGAACGTATAAATAAACCTATGCGTGAACCATCACCAACTAAGAATAGTCCTAAGGGGTTCATACTTCTTCCACCTAGGTCAACGGGGTACCAATTCAACTAGCATGCAATCTAATCGACTCATAAACCTACGAACGGTACCCGAAATACCAAACTAGACATAGGCACGACAAACGGGGTCCGTTGGGACACCACGGGGATCGGGGAAACATCAAACGGGGAAGCCGGGGTCCCGAGGGGGGGAAGAATCCAGCGGGTAGCCGGTGGGTGGGGGTCCACCCGCCGGCTGCCCGCCGGACAATACTGTTCCGGGCAGCGGGTCGCCGGCGGGTAGCTGCCCGCCCGCCGGCTGCCCGC